TCCCTACACACTCATTTCTTCTAATAAAATCCTTGCATTGTTAACCCTGTCTTGTTGTCTCTTTCTTGGACTATCTGGACAACACATGGAGTGACCTTAGACAATTACTTCATCTTTGAATCTGTTTCTTCACCAAGGTCTAAACAGGGTTAATAATACCTGTTACATGGGTGCTATAAGTATGACTAACTGTGATCATACTTGAAAGGCTCTTAACCAGGTACCTGGCAAATATAGATACTTAATAAATGTCACTTTTCTTCCCTTTCACATCTCCTCTTTTCCTTTGAAAATTTCCTAGCACTGGGGTTAAATTGCATTTACTTATGCACATATGACCTGTGGCATTTGGGAAGAAATGAAGTCTTAGTGTAATAAAGTGGTCCTGTTTTAATTATAGTTCCTCCCACTTCTCATTAACTGCTTCTCAATTTGGGGGAAGCTTAACTTTGCAGACCTCTCTGAAATCTTTGATGTGTTTAATAATGTGAGTTGAAAGGGAAAAAAATAGCTGTGAGGGAGAACCTTATTAAGCTTTGTGTGCTAGTTTTATTACTACCTTCAATAAAGCTGATGCCAAACACTTTACCTTGTCATCCAGTTTCCGTGCGTTGAAAGCAAGTTCAACATAGTCATCATTGCCAGATAATTCCTCAGCAATCACCTAAAGGAAAAAGGACGCATCAGGTGCAGTGGCAGTTGGACAACTAAGCCCAGGAATTCATGAACAATTTATCTTATGTTTGATCCAAAAATCAACAAAGACTGACATTTGGCATGGAGTTTCCCACAACACAGTGAAGAGGGCACAGCATCAACAGGTGTACAGGGAACTCCCTAGAACAGACCACAGAAGATAACTAGATCTCATCTGTGCTGAGCATGAGAACATGAGATATGGGGTGTAAGCTAAGGGAAGAGGTTTTGGAGGAGCAATTAGGAAGAGCTTCTTCCTTCAAAGGTCACAAAACACTGAATGGCACGTCCATATAATTATATACATTGTCTTCTTTGGGAAGTGACAAAAAAGGAGCAGCAGGCAGCAATATTTCTTCACTGTTTTGAATCACACCAACAAGGGACAGGGAATAAACTGGTTTCTACATCCCTTCCAGACCAACGATTATAAGGTCATCAAAGAAATGTTCTAATTCCACTGTTTCAAAAAGACTGTCCTTGGGCTTTGAGAGAGAGAGAGAGAGGGGGAGAGAGAGAGAGAGAGAGAGAGAGAGAGAGAGAGAGAGAGAGAGAGAATAAGGAACTAAACCCTTAACTCTCAAGAACAGAGAATTCCTGACAAAGACTTTGACATAAGTGAAGAGATAATAACCTATCACCCTTTTTCATAAAATATCACTTCCCAGTATTGAATAGTGACTCTCAAAACCTTGGAACAGAAACTGGTGGAAAAGAAGTGAGGAGACAGGCCTGAGGAGTAGAGGCGGGAGTTTCGAGACTAAGGTGGCGTGAGAGCCATGTGGAGGACAGGATCTTGGGGCTCTAGCCAGGTGTCAGGGCTATGCTACTGAGGTGGAAGAGCCAAGTTCATGACACTGGCCCACCAGCTCCATGTAATATCAAATGGGAAAAATCTCCCAGAGATCTCCATCTCAATGCCAAGACCCAGCTCCACTCAACGAACAGTAAGCTGCAGTGCAGGACACCCTACTCCAAAAAACTAGCAAGACAGGAACACAACCCCATCCATTAGCACAGAGGCTGCTTAAAATCATAATAAGGCCACAGACACCCCAAAACACACTACCACACGTGGACTTGCCCACCAGAAAGACAAGAACCAGCCTCATCCAGCAAAACACAGGCACTAGTCCCCTCCACCAGGAAGCCTACACAACCCAATGAACTAACCTTAGCCACTGGGGACAGACACCAAAAACAATGGAAACTACGAACTTGCAGCCTGCAAAAAGGAGATCCAAAAAACAGAAGGTTAAGCAAAATGAGAAGACAGAGAAACACACAGCAGATGAAGAAGCAAGGCAAAAACCCACCAGACTTAACAAATGAAGAGGAAATAGGCAGTCTACCTGAAAAAGAATTCAGAATAATGATAGCAAAGATGATCCAAAACTTGGAAATAGAATAGAGAATATACAAGAAACCTTTAACAAGGACCTAGAAGAACTAAAGAGCAAACAAACAGTGATGAACAACACAATAAATGAAACTAACAATTCTCTAGAAGGGATCAATAGCAGAATAACTGAGGCAGAAGAGAAAAGTGACCTGGAAGATAGAATAGTGGAAATAAATTCTCTGGAAGGGATCAATAGCAGAATAACTGAGGCAGAAGAACAGAAAAGTGATGTGGAAGATAGAATAGTGGAAATAATTACTGCAGAACAGAATAAAGAAAAAAGAATTAAAGGAATTGAGGACAGTCTCAGAGACCACTAGGACAACATTAAACGCACCAACATTCGAATTATAGGGGTCCCAGAAGAGGAATAGAAAAACAAAGGGACTGAGAAAATATTTGAAGAGATTATAGTTGAAAACTTCCTTAATATGGGAAAGGAAATAGTTAATCAAGTCCAGGAAATGCAAAGAGTCCCATACAGCATAAATCCAAGGGGAAACACACCAAGACACATATTAATCAAACTATCAAAAATTAAATACAAAGAACAAATATTAAAAGCAGCAAGGAAAAAACAACAAGTAACACATAAGGGAATCCCCATAAGGTTAACAGCTGATATTTCTGCAGAAACTCTGCAAGCCAGAAGGGACTGGCAGGACATATTTAAAGTGATGAAGGAGAAAAACCTACAACCAAGATTAATCTACCCAGCAAGGATCTCATTCAGATTTGATGGAGAAATTAAAACATTTACAGACAAGCAAAACCTAAGAGAATTCAGCACCACCAAACCAGCTTTACAAGAAATGCTAAAGGAACTTCTATAGGCAGGAAACACAAGAGAAGGAAAAGACCTACAATAATAAACCCAAAACAGTTAAGAAAATGGTAATAGGAACATACATATCGATAATTACCTTAAATGTAAATGGATTAAATACTCCAACCAAAAGACGCAGACTGGCTGAATGGATACAAAAACAAGACCCGTATATATGCTGTCTATAAGAGACCATTTTGGACCTAGGGACACATACAGACTGCAAGTGAGGGGATGTAAAAAGATATTCCATGCAAATAGAAATCAAAAGAAAGCTGGAGTAGCAATTCTCATATCAGACAAAATAGACTGTAAAACAAAGACTAGTACAAGAGACAAAGAAGGACACTACATAATTATGAAGGGATCAATCCAAGATATAACAAGTGTAAATATTTATGCACCCAACATAGGAGCACCTCAATACATAAGGCAAATACTAACAGCCATAGAAGGGGAAATCGACAGTAACACAATTATTGTATGGGACATTAACACCCCACTTTCACCAAGGGACAGATGATCCAAAATGAAAATAAATAAGGAAACACAAGCTTTAAATGATACATTAAACAAGATGGACTTAATTGATATTTATAGGACATTGATCCAAAAACAACAGAATACACATTCTTCACAAGTGCCCATGTAACATTCTCCAGGATAGATCATATCTTGGGTCACAAATCAAGCCTTGGTAAATTTAAGAAAACTGAAATTGTATCAAGTATCTTTTACGACCACAATTCGATGAGACTAGATATCAATTATAGGAAAAAATCAGTAAAAAATACAAAAACATGGAGGCTAAACAATATGCTTAAATAACCAAGTGATAACTGAAGAAATCAAAGAGGAAATCAAACAATATCTAGAAACAAATGACAATGAAAAAACGATGACCCAAAACCTATGGGATGCAGCAAAAGCAGTTCTAAGTGGGAAGTTTAGATCAATACAATCCTACCTTAAGAAACAAGAAACAACTAAAATAAACAACCTAACTTTACACCTAAAGCCATTAGAGAAAGAAGAACAAAAATACCCCAAAGTTAGCAGAAGAAAAGAAATCATATAGATCAGATCAGAAGTAAATGAAAAGGAAATGATGGAAATGATAGCAAAGATCAATAAAACGAAAAGCTGGTTCTTTGAGAAGATAAACAAAATTGATAAACCATTAGCCAGACTTATCAAGAAAAAAAGGAAGAAGACTCAAATCAATAGAATTAGAAATGAAAAACTAGAAGTAACAACTGACACTGAAGAAATACAAAGGATCATGAGAGATTACTACAAGCAACTCTATGCCAATAAAATGGAGAGCCTGGAAGAAATGGACAAATTCTTAGAAATGCACAACCTTCTGAGTCTGAACCAGAGAGAAATAGAAAATATAAACAGACCAATCACAAGCACTGAAATTGAAACTGTGATTAAAAATCTTCCAACAAACAAAAGCCCAGGACCAGATGGCTTCACAGGAGAATTCTATCAAACATTTAGAGAAGAGCTACCACCTATCTTTCTCAAACTCTTCCAAAATATAGCAGAGAGAGGGACACTCCCAAACTCATTCAACAAGGCCACCATCACTCTGATACCAAAACCAGACAAAGATATCACAAAGAAAGAAAACTACAGGCCAATATCACTAATGAACATAGATGCAAAAATCCTCAACAAAATAGTAGCAAACAGAATCCAACAGCACATTAAAAGGATCATACACTATGATCAAGTGGGGTTTATCCTAGGAGTGCAAGCATTCTTCAATATACGCAAATCAATCAATGTGATACACCATATTAACAAATTGAAGGAGAAAAACCATATGATCATCTCAATAGATGCAGAGAAAGCTTTTGACAAAATTCAACTCCCATTTATGATAAAAACCCTCCAGAAAGTAGGCATAGAGGGAACTTTCCTCAACATAATAAAGGCCATATATGACAAACCCACAGCCAACATTGTCCTCAATGGTGAAAAACCGAAAGCATTTCCACTAAGATCAGGAAAAAGACAAGGTAGCCCACTCTCACCACTATTATTCAACATTGTTTGGGAAGTTTTAGCCACAGCAATCAGAGAAGAAAAAGAAAGAAAAGGAATCCAAATTGGAAAAGAAGTAAAGCTGTCACTGTTTGCAGATGACATGATACTATACATAGAGAATCCCAAAGATGCTACCAGAAAACTAGTAGAGCTAATCCATGCATTTGGTAAAGTAGCAGGATACAAAATTAATGCACAGAAATCTCTTGCATTCATATACACTAATGATGAAAAATCTAAAATTGAAATTAGGAAAACACTCCCATTTACCATTGCAACAAAAAGAATAAAATATCTAGGAATAAACCTACCTAAGGAGACAAAGACCTGTATGCAGAAAATTATAAGACACTGATGAAAGAAATTAAAGATGATACAAATAGATGGAGAGATAGACCATGTTCTTGGATTGGAAGAATTAGCATTGTGAAATGACTCTATTACCCAAAGCAATCTACAGATTCAATTCAATCCCTATCAAACTACCACTGGCATTTTTCACAGAACTAGAAGCAAAATTTTCACAATTTGTGTGGAAACAAAAAAGACACCTAATAGCCAAAGCAATCCTGAGAAAGAAAAACTGGGCTGGAGGAGTCAGTCTCCCTGACTTCAGACTATACTACAAAGCCACAGTAATCAAGACAGTATGATCCTGGCACAAAAACAGAAACATAGATCAATGGAACAGGATAGAAAGCCCACAGATAAACCCATGCACATATGGTCAACTTATCTTTGATAAAGGAGGCAAGAATATACAGTGGCGAAAAGACAGTCTCTTCAATAAGTGGTGTTGGGAAAACTGGACAGCTACATGTAAAAGAATGAAATTAGAACACTCCCTAACACTATACACAAAAATAAACTCAAAATGGATGAAAAACCTAAATGTAAGGACAGACACTATCAAACTCATAGAGGAAAACATAGGCAGAACACTCTGACATAAATGACAGCAAGATCCTTTTTGACCCACCTCCTAGAGAAATGGAAATAAAAACAAAAATAAACACATGGGACCTAATGAAACTTAAAAGCTTTTGCACAGCAAAGGAAACCATAAACAAGACAAAAAGACAACCCTCAGAATGGGAGAAAATATTTGCAAATGAATCAACTGACAAATGATTAATCACCAAAACATACAAGCAACGCATGCAGCTCAATACCAAAAAAAAGAAACAACCCAATCCAAAAATGGGCAGAACACCTAAATAGACATTTCTGCAAAGAAGTTATACAGACTGCCAACAAACACATGAAAGAATGCTCAACATCATTAATCATTAGAAATGCAAATCAAAACTACAATGAGATATCATCTCACACCGGTCAGAATGGCCATCTTCAAAAACTCTACAAACAATAAATGCTGGAGTGGGTGTGGAGAAAAGGCAACCCTCTTGCACTGTTGGTGGGAAAGTAAACTGATACAGCCACTATGGAAAACAGTATGGATATTCCTTCAAAAACTAAAACTAGAACTACCATACGAGCCAGCAATCCCACTACTGGGCATACACCCTGAGAAAACCATAATTCAAAAACTTCATGTACCAAAATGTTCACTGCAGCTCTATTTACAATAGCCAGGACACAGAAGCCACCTAAGTGTCCATCAACAGATGAACGGATAAAGAAGATGTGGCACATATATACAATGGAATATTACTCATCCTTAAAAAGGAACGAAACTGAGTTATTTGTAGTGAGGTGGATGGACCTGGAGACTGTCATACAGAGTAAAGTAAGTCAGAAAGAGAAAAGCAAATTCCGTATGCTAACACATATATATGTAATCTAAAAAGAAAATGAAGAAAAACAGTCAGAAGAACCTAGGGGCCAGACGGGAATAAAGATGCAGACCTACTAGAGGATGGACTTGAGGATATGGGGAGGGGGAGGGGTGAGTTGGGAAGGAGTGGGAGAGTGGCATGGACATATGTGCACTACCAAGTGAAGATTGATGGCTGGTGGGAGGCAGCCGCATAGCACAGGGAGATCAGCTCGGTGCTTTGTGACCACCTAGAGGGGTGGGATAGGGAGGGTCAGAGGGACAGATATGCAAGGGGGAGTAGATATGGGGACGTATGTGTATGTATAGCTGATTCACTTTGTTATAGAGCAGAAACTGGCACACCATTGTAAAGCAATTATACTCCAATAAAGATGTTAAAAAAAAAAGTCAGTAGAAAAACAACAATAACAACAACAAAAATATAAGGCCCAGTGTAGCTGCATATAGGTTAAACCACTTCTAAATCATGTTAGGACTTCACCATGCATTCGGAGGCCGTAATGTGTGGACACCCTTATCAAATTTGTTATGTGGAGACACTGAGCTTTAATTCAATTTTATCTCCATTCTATCTGAGATTAACTTTTCCATTATGAGTTGGATTCATCTGTTCTGAGTACACATTGGTAGCCTCTGGAAATTTTTATTTTATGCATAATATTAAAGCTAAAGCAGTTGTCTAAAGAGGGAAGGATCCCTCCAAATGTGTGATCACCTGAAGGGTAGGGAACATGGGTCCAGATACATAGTGGAAACTGAAGAACTACTTGATAAACCAGAAATCATCATATTTACATTTTTCATTCAATTCTCTTTTGTCCCATATCATCTTAATGCCTCTTACACTCCATTTGAGCTGAGGTCTTTAACTGTTTTGTGGTTACAGACACCTTTGGAATGATGATGAAAGTTATGACCTCCATTTGCAAAGCCTAGAAAATTGTGCACATACTTTCAAGTGTTTTCCAGAAGCTATGGAAGCCATTGTTCTGATCCAAGGACACAGGATTAAGAGGAGTATTTAAATATTTAAAATTAGGAAGGAGATTAAGTTTTTCTGGGCTTTGTAGAGAAAGGAAATTCCCAGGAAGTCTTAGAGAAAAGTGACAAGATGAGCTTTTGTTCACCTGCAAAAGAACCGTGGCAGATCTCACACCTGGGTTCACCATCCCAAGTCTTATCTAGTATTGTAGGCTTTGGTAGTGAGCCCGTGGGTCCATGGATTTTTAGAGCACCAATGGCGTCTTTAAAGACTGTTTGAGGGCCTCCCTGGTGGCGCAGTGGTTGAGAGTCCGCCTGCTGATGCAGGGGACGCGGGTTCGTGCCCCGGTCTGGGAGGATCCCACATGCCGTGGAGCGGCTGGGCCCGTGAGCCATGGCCGCTGAGCTTGCGCGTCCGGCAACGGGAAAGGCCACGACAGTGAGAGGCCCACATATCGCAAAAAAAAAAAAAAAAAAAAAAAAAAAAAAAAGACTGTTTGAACCATTTGTTCATGATTGAACGTGGCAGTCAAGAATAAGCTCTGACATGACTGCATCATTTTAATATTTAATATTCAAGCCAACAAACTCAGCTAAGTGCTTGTGAGAATGGTCCTAACTTTCACCAGTGGAAATAAAATATTTTTGAATTTTTCCTTTAAAAAATGGCTTAAATTTTTAAAAAAATGAATCAGTCACTTTCTAGTTAAAAAGGAATGTTCAGAGGAACTTAGGAGGTTTTCCTCCCGAGACAATCTGCCTTGCAATCAATTCAGATTCTCCTGGTACTTTTTTCTACCTATTACTATTATTTTTTGTCCACACAGCTAAATGGTTAGACTATCTTTCTTAAGGGTGCTAATACAAGATGCCAAAGTTTCAAATACTGGAGTTCTACTTGAACATTTAATATTTTATTTAGAAATACTTCCAGTATTGCCTTATAGAACATTCTGCAATGACAGAAATATTCTGTAATCTGCACCATTCAATATAGCAGTGGCCAGCCACATGGAACTACTGAGCACTTGATACATGGATAGTGGAAGGAATGACTATTTGCTTTTATTTAATTTTAAGTTCAAATAATCACATGGCTACCAAATAGAACAGTGCGGTTCCAAACTATTATATTAGAGAGGAGAGTTAAATGCTGGGCTCTCTCATCCTTAGGCAACAGACCAAACCTTGGACTAAATGATATTAGAGCATTTTTTTTTTCTCAAGAAACTGAGAAAGAGGGAAAGGTAGCTTTTTTTGGCAGGGGGCTGGGGGTGGATAGGTAGCTCTGATGATTTGAAAACTCCAGGCAATTCTGTATTCTTACTGTGCTCAATAACTCCATCTTTGTCCCCTGCTAAAACCTACATTTAATTACAGAAATGCTTAGTTGAAGTGAATGGCCTCACTTTCAAATCCTTTTTTGTACAATGGAAAGGTCAAAATTGTATTGTCAGGAAGAAGAAAGATGGAAAAAAGAAAGGGCGACTGGGACAGTTGAGCAGTTGTGGGTTCAACTCCCAACATCCAGAGGGTCAGCTTCCCACGTGGCTGGGTCGGACCATCCAGCTCCATTTTGGGTGCTTGGGCAGGTGGCTGCTTAGGGAGGGCTCACCGTGATGGAGGATTTCCCTGCCGTGTTCCCATGCTTCAACAAGGATTTGGACAGCTTTCTCTGGGAAACAATCTGTACAAAAGGAAACACAAGGTGGAGATACTAGTCATATACTTGCAGGTATACTCTTTAGTATTTCCCTTACAAAATTTTTCACTTACAGCTCTCCTTGAAATTATGACATCAATGTTCATTTATTTTCCAAGGTTCTTCCACAAACCTCTCCTAAATACAGGTCATTCCCTTCTTTCCTCTTATGGCTTGTGCTGTAAGTGTGAGTGTGTAAGGGATTACAGATAATTCAGTACTAATGGAGGTGGCTTGATCATTGCTGAGACATTTATATTAAAATTAGACAAAACATGTTGGATATGTACATTAACATAAAGGAGATAAAGTTTCAGAATGATCTCAAATTAGCACTAAAACCTCTGTGCAGAGTGGAGGATGGAGTGAAGGGAGGAAAGAAACTCAAGGTCTAAATATACACTTCCTGTATCCATAACCTCTAGAGTTCTATTTTTAATATATTCAATAGGAAGCAATAAAGTAAGTCATGAGGAGACTGATGCTCAGACAAGCCAAAAGGAGTAACTGGGGTCCTCTCCACTGGGAGCTATTCTCAGCAGAACTTGCCCCATCCCCTCTTGTTTTCTTTTATGAAAGGGAAAGGTGGCAAGGCAGTGAGGCCCTGATGGGCCTGCACCCCATGACTCCCCAGGATTCCCAAAGGAGGCAAGGCTTAAAAGACTAAAGTGAAAGCTGTGCTCTGCTCTCGGCAGAGGGAGAGCATAGTCCTCTGCTGTGGGTGGCAGCTTCTACCTGGATGGCTCCAGTGATCCCCGCTTCCTGGTGTTCTTGCCATTGTGTAATTCCCTCCCCTTGAGTGTTGGGTGGATCCAGTGATTTGATTCCAATGAACAGAATACTACAAAAGTGATGGGATATCACTTCAGGGATTAGGTTCCAAAATCACTGACTTCCTTCTTGCTCATCATCTCTCATTCTCTCTCTTAGAGCCTTTGCTCTGGGGGAAGTAGGCTGCTAGGTTGTGAACAGACCTGTAGGAGCAGCCCACATGGCTAGGAATTGATGTCCCTACTCAACAACCAGTGAGAACCAGAGGCTAGCCAGCAGCCACACAACAGCCTGGAGCAGGTCCTCCCAAAAGGTGAGCCTTGAGATAACTGCACCTCGACAGCAGCCTTGCGAGAGACCCTGGTCCAGAGGACCCAGCCATGCTGCCCCAACTCCTGACACACAGAAGTTGTGAGATAATAAGTGTTTGTTTTTAAGCTTTCAACTTTTGCAGTAATTTTTAATGCAGCAATCAGTAAAAGTACACATAAGAAAGGGAAGGAGATCACTGTGAAGAATGGGGACATAAACCCATTCTCTGAAATCCTTATATATTTTGTCTCTGTGTTAGAGCAATAAAAATATTAGGAGTGTGCTAATATCAAATGCAAAAAGTTCAGAGACCTTCCCTAGGCCAAGCAGATTAAAGATCCTAATGTTCAGTCAGCTGTCATCTGAAGAAGGAGTGCTTCTATAAAGAATCACCAGGTGATGATGATGATGTTGATGACATCAATGAGAGCAATGGGAACTCCCATGTAAGTATACAGATCATATGGGAGATGCCTTATTCATTTCAAAAATAATTATCTAGTCCCCAAAATATAACAAACTTGGTGCTAGGCACTAAGATTAGAGTGGTAAGCAAAGTCAGATGCAATAGCTGACCTCATGGAGTTTACATTTTAGTGGGGGAGATAGTAATAAACCAAATGGTCAAATAAATATAACTTGTCACAAAGGAGAGATGCACTGGCCATGGTGGGGACGATGAATGCGGTGACTGAGAGTGGACCACTTATGAATCTCTGGCAGCAGTACAGGTGAGAGGTAATAGTGGCTATGGAGATGGGGAGAAGAGACTGGATTTATGAGATAGTTAGGTGTAAAATAGTCAGAATTTGGAAATGGATTGAATATGGAGAGACTGGAAGGCATCCTAAATGTATCACTGGATCAGAGAGTTATGCCCTTCAGTGAGTTAAGAGTCACAAGAAGGGGACATTAAATTGGAAGGCAAAGAACAAAGTTTGGGGCAGAAAACAGACTGGAGTAGGTTGAAGAGGAGAGAAAGAGGAAGAAAATGGACAAGAAGAAAATTCTTTCAATGAGTTTGGCTATATAGTGGGGGAGAGAGAATAGACCCTGAGGGGAAGGAGAAATTCAGTAAGTTTTTTGTCTTAGTGGTCATTTTGTTGTTAACTTTACAGCCCCACAAATTTGGTATTATTAATTTCCTTTTATAGAGGAGCAAAGTTGGACACAGGGAGTTTAAGTAACTTTCCTAAGGCCATAGAGCTAGGAGGGAGTGTGGCTGGGATTTGAACATAGGTCTGACTCCAGAAACTGATCTCCAGTTACATTATGACTGGTAAGCGAACTCCTAAAACAGGTTCAGAAAATGTGCACAGCTGGATTTGTACTACATGTGTTTGCTTTTAAGCCCTAGATCTCATGTTAGTGCTTAAGCCTCAGTGTGTAAGCATGGAGAAGATGGTAAAGAAATAATCAAGTTAAAGCTTAAGAATGAACTAATCTGGAGACACTGGCTTTGGTTAAGTGCAGTGTAGCATAATGATTAAGAACATAGGTTTTTGATTTATAGTTGACTATCAATAAAATGACATGAAAAAATTCAGATGATAAAAGAATTGGCTTTCCTTTCCATAGTTAATTCTGAATTCAAACTCACCTTTCCCACCCTACTCATTAAGAATGTTCCAGTGCTTTTAGTCCTATCAGCAAAATCATTATCCCCACCCCCTCAATTCTCAGATTGTCACTTGTTCTAGAAAAGTTACCATTTCCTAGAATATTGTAGACATTATTTTTTAACTTGAGATAAACCAAAACACAGGAAACACAGAAGACAAACAGCAAAAGGACATTAGAAGATTTTGTGGTTTCTCTCCAGGGGTTTTTCAGTGGGGAGTGGAAGGGAAGACACATGAATAGATGACAAAACAAGGGTCACTGATAAGCAGTAGCCAGGTCAGTATCTCTCTAAAGAAAGGTAACAGATTTATTTGGTAACATTATACCCTGTTCCCAAATAAATATGGTCTCAGAAATACTTTGGTCCACTGTCACTGTGTTTCATCCACATTGGTTATGTGGATGGTTATGTTCATCCTACCCCAATAACTTCAAGTGACCCCAACAACCTTGTCAGCCCTGAGATGATCCATGCATTGGGTTACCAGGTATTGGTGGACTGTCGTTACAGACTGTGTCTTCCAAGATCCACATTCTCTTTCTTCAAGGAAGACCAAGGATGGTACCAGGTCTTTCTCACGCTTTTTTAGAAATGCCAATGTTTCCATTTGTAGGGTCTGAAGAGAATGCTACCACGTACCACCTCCTGCCTTTTACAAATGCTAGGAAGACAAGCAATTTCCCAGGAAATATTCCTTCTTAAGAAATGGTCATATGGGTAAATAAGTGGCTAATCAAGCAGGGATTCAAACAAATATTGTACAGCCCCAGGCCTCCAACTCAGCTCCAAAGAATGAGTAATAATTAAGGTTTCAAACCTTTCATTGTAATGATTGACAATGTGTTGCCATTGGCATTGCCATTCTTAAGACTTCAAGCAAAAATAGTAGAATGCCCAGCTGAAGCAGCGATCTATAGAGAAAAGTCTATTTGTTGCCAATTCCCTTCTCACACAGGCTTTGTTGCAGCTGAAGCAACTGCATCATACTCAAAAACAGCCTTAGGTCATGTCAGAGGATGAAGGGTTTAGAGTGACAAGGACTTACACTTGACCCAGCTGATACTGAGGCCAACAAATAGGCAGCATTTAACACTGGGCTAAAGGGGGTGCACTTGTCAGAAGTCCTCTAATTTGATTCTTCTCACCCTATAGTGGGGTCACAGTTGCAACCCTTAGACTTCAAGGAAGGATGAAATATAGGGGGAGGAAACACTCTTATTAGCAAAGTCAAATCAGAGGGACATTAGCACCATCAAGTCCTTGATCTGCATTCACACATGGATCTGGGGAGGAAGTGCTTCTCTCCCTGTGAAGTGGGCGGTATTCTAACAGCAGGGATCCTCATTTTCAGGGAAGTCCCCTGTTTCATTTAGATAAATGAGAACAAAACCAGGAGAATAAAAAACATTTTGGTCAATATTTCAACAAGTGTTTGTTTATCTGGATTTGCTTACAAAGACTTTCAAAACAGTCATTTTGGGAACTAGACAGTCATCTTTCATGAGATCTCTTTTACTGAAAATATCTTCAGATTATTTCTGGAAATTGCTTTAAGACTCTATTGCAAAAACAAACATTTATTGAACAGCTTTTCTGTGCCAGGCACTGTTCTGAGATAACAGTGGTGGACAGGTGAAAACATAATTACAATACTTGACATTCGTACCTCTGTTAGCCAGAATTGATAATGCCCAAAGCATGTGTCAGAGAACTTTCATTTCTTAAAAGGTAAGTAAGTATTGTATGAAAAAGTCTTTGTGTAGATAAGTCTGGAAATCACACGATTAGAAAAAGTTTGGCATCTTTAATTGCAGGATATTAACAGAGCTTTAGTTGTGAATCACCCTGAGCACAGCCATGGATGGAGCATTCTTTATACTTTTTTGACCCCAGAACCTTTTGTCAAGGAGCATCCCTGGTGTTCTGAAAACTAGCAATTACTACTCCCATCACTACAGGGTACAACCAAGGGCTCCTGATGACTCCTGTAGCAACAGAGGGGGACCGGTCCAGGTTCTCTCAGGCCTGACTCTTGCAGAGCTGGCTGGGCTCCCAACAGCCAGCATTGGCATCTCTTTGCCTACAGGTTCTTCTGGAGTCTGTGCCCACTGTCCACAGGAACAGTAAGCTGAAAGTGGGGGGGGGGGTTAACACCCTTGGGAGCGGAGTCAACCAACCGATGGGCTTTGGCACAGAAATCCCCCAGCTCCTTTGGCCCAGGGATGGGGGTAACTCTGCGGTGTTTGTTCTGCACAGAAGTTGAGTTTTCCCAGTGGAT